TCAAACAACAGAAATTTATTTCCTCACAATTCTGAACCTATGTTCTCTCAAGTTCCTGCTCTTCTATCCTCTCTTCACAATCAAACTGGAAGTGCAGTTATCATTTCCTCACATCCTCCTCACCCTTTGATTTGCAAAGACCACCAAAGATTGTTTTATAAATACATGTTGTTAACATTGCCAGTTATCTCCCTATAAATAAAACCTTACTTGGAAACAAAGGAAAGTTAACCCTTGACCTCCTTTTCAGAACTAACATTTTCCTGGCCTTATCGGACACCTCCATCTAATCAATGTCTTCAGTCTCCTCTATAACATGCCCTACTCCCATATGCTCTCCAAAGAATTCCTCAGTGCTATTGGAATGTCTCAAGACTCCACATTTTCTTTTTATACAGTGTCCTGGCTAGCTCATGCATTAATGCAATTGCTGCAATTTCTTGTACTGCTATCTCTAAATTGAAAGTGACCAATTTCTTGTGTGGATTCCATTTCTGAGCTATCATCTCTGCTTGCAAGCTTACACCTAAAATGAAATATTTCTCAGGACAATACTTCTGCCCTTCCACATATAAAAATCATTCTTCCTCTACTTTCCAATCTTAGTTAATGTCTCCATCAGACATCTATTTTACGTGACTTTGCTGAACCAAAAAACACAGTTATTATCTCTACAAAGGGCGCTATTGTTTCCATCGTAATCCACATGTTGTACACAAACTTCCCACCCCACACACATTTTACTTCAATTTCAGTTTAAATGTCAATCATACAGAGATACTTTCACTTAAGTCCAACCAAAGGGTCTTTCCCTTCCTGTCTTGACATAAATAGAACTCTACTATTCTTTCAGGCTGCTGATCTAATTTGTCATTATATATTTATGTTCTATCCTCCCTTTTATCTAAATGTGGAAAAATCAACCTATGAATGGTTAAGATTAGGCTAGTTTCCCTTGACCATTATATATGAATTATAAATACAGAGGAATTCCATGTCCAAGGAAACCTACCCTCAGGCTGCCTGCCCCCTAATGCATGCAGTCTAGCAATTATTTTCTGATTGTAAATTCCTTTTTGAAATAAAAGCATCTGTCCTTCCTGGTAAAAATCCTCTGCAGTACTTACCAAAACCCAAATAGATGGAAAGGCCAATGACGCCACCCTTTATTGATGCAGTCACCACACAAAGGATCTCAGAGCTTCTTTCTTTCTAGATAGGTCAGTCTTACCTAGACTATCTTTATACGAAGTTGATAACCTCATCAATCATATAAATCAAGACTCATCCTGATTAATCTGGAGGCCAGTCAATATAAATCTAATCAAAGCATGCCTTTTTTAACAAAACATTTTCTCACTAACTAGGTAAATCATATAGATGCAATTAAGGAAAACAGATGATGTCCTTTCACTCTTTTTCTAAAACCACTTTATTTTTGAGTCATTTTAGGTTCAAAGCACAATTGAGGGGCAAGTACAGAGAGTTCCCATATACCTCCTGTCCCCACAAACAGCCTGCCCCATTATCAACATGCTCCAGCAGAGTAGCACATTTGTTACAGATGAACCAACAATGACACATCATTATCACCCACAGTCCCTAGTTTACCTTTGGGTTCCCTCTTGGTGTTATGCATTGTATGGGTTGGGACAAATGTGCAATGAAATGTACCCACCACGGTAATATTAACCATAACAGACCCACTGCCCTAAAAACCCTCTGTGCTCTGTGTATTCATTCCTCCCCATCACCCAACTGATCTTACTATCTTCATAGTTTTGATTTCTCCAGAATGTCATATACTTGGAATCATACAATATGCAGCCTTTTCAGATTGGCTTCTTTCACTTAATAACATGCATTTAAAGTTCCTCCATCTGTCTTCATGGCTTGATAGCCCACTGCTTTTTACTGATGAATAATATTCCACTGTTTGGATGTACCACAATTTATTTGTCCAAATAAATTTTCCTACTGAAGGACATCTTTGTTGCTGCCAAGTTTTGGCAATTATGAAGAAAGATACTATAAATTATTCATGTGCAGATCCTTGTCCCCATGTTTTCCAACTCATTTGCATAAAGAGCAAGAAACATGACTGAAGGATATGATAAGAGTATGTTTAATATTATAAAAAACTTCTAAACTGTCTTCCAAAGTGGCTGTACCAGTTTGCATTCCTACCAACAATGAATGGGAGTGCCAGTTGCTCCTCACCAGCATTTGGCATTCTCAGTATTTTGGGTTTTCTAATAGGTGTTATAGTGGTATCTCATTTTTATTTTAATTCGCAAATCTCTAATGACATAAGATGTTGAACATCTTTTCACATGCTTATTTCGCAGCTGTATATTTTCTTTGGTGAGATGCCTTCTGTCCATTCTCATGGGGTTGGTCATTTTTTTATTGTTGAGTTTTAAAAATATTTTATATATTATGGATAAGTCCTTTATCAAATGTTTTGCAAATATTTTCTCCCAGCCTGTGGCTTGTCTTTCATTTTCTTGACAGTGTTTTCACATAGCAGAAGTTTTAAATTTCAATCAAGGCCAGCTTAACAATTATTTCTTTCATGGATAATGCCTTTGGTATTGATCTAATCTAAAAAGTCACTGTCAAACCCAAAGTCACCTAGATTTTTCTCCTATGTTTTCTTCTAGGAGTTTTATAGTTTTGTGTTTTACATTTAGGTCTATTACATATTTTCAGATAACTTTTGAAAACAGTGTAAGGTCTGTGTCCAGATTCATTTTTTTTGTATGTGGATTTCCAGTTGTTACCCTCCCTTGTTGAAGACCTTTGTTTTCCTCCATTGTATTGTTTTCTCGTTTTTCAAATATTGAATATATCCACACAAAGACTATATTTGTGTGGGTTTATTTCTGGGCTCCCTATTGTGTTTCAATGACCTATTTGTCTATTATTTCACCAAAACATTATGTCCTTTAATTCTTTATCTTTCTAAAAGTCTCAAAAGCAACCTTCATCTCTTTTCCCAGAAACCTCACTATTTTGTGGAGGTTGGTTTTTATGGGCAATACTGTAGAGAAGCTAAAGAAGAGATCAATATTGCTCTTTAAGAGGACTTGTAATCTACTGACACCTTTCAGGCTGTGAGCATCAGGGTGATTCTATATAAGGAGAAACACTTGTGCTTAAACATATATTCAAAGGACATATTTTTCAGGTATCTAGAGTGTACATATTTTACCACCAAGAAATAGAAAACCAGTTCACTGTAGGTCTCTTCAAGTCAGAGTTAGCTAGTGATTAGGGACTGTAAAATACTACAAGTTTTAAAATCTTAGGGCTTCACGGAATAAATGATTTAGATTTTCCTATAAATAGGATGTGCTTTAACTGTTCGTGAAAATGTTAAACATTTGAAAAACTAAGGACATCTCTTAAGAGATATGGAAATATAGAGATATAGAAGAACAAATAGTTTTTGAAGAAAAATCATGACATACATACTCATTTAAATAAGTACAAGCATTAGATTTTTAAAAAACTGTCATCATCATCACCACCATCACCATCACCATCATTGTTATCATAACAGAGTGCTAGTGCCCTAAGGCCAAAAGAATGTTGAACTAGTTTCTCCTGGAGCTGGAGGGCTCTGAGGTCAAGGCCCAGGCTATGGACTCAGCCTACCAGGGCCCCAGCCAGGCTTCCCACATGCTGGTGATGTACACATGGAGAGATGGCCCATACTCCTTCATTGGATTCTTGAGAGGTAAAAATGGATTAATGACTATACACTGCTCACACTTGGAACACTAGTCACTGATGTAGTTACTTACATCTTCTTGCCAACTTCCTTGATTAAAACAGGAATGATTTTAGAACCATTTATACCTCAGTCAGGTAGCCTCCCACTCAATGACTAGAACCCTGATCCCACATACCTCTAGAAAAGATGCCTTATAACTGGGGTCTCTCCCAGCAACAGCCAAACATTCTGATGATCAAGGGACTAAAATCAGCTGCCTTCAACTTGAATCAGGAAGTGGACTGATGTTCAATGCCATTGGACAATATCAGAGCTCAATGAACCATTACATACACCCCCTCAAGGAGCCCAGGATGGCTTCTGTGTGAGAACTGCCATCCCAGGTACACAACGGAGTCCTTCAAGCATTTTCCCAAGTAGAGTCCATACATACCCTGCAAGGTGTCAGGTACACATCTCCATAGTGCAGAATGTTCAACGAGCATCTTCCAAAGCCTACAAACTCTGCAGAGGGAGAAAACTGACATTCATCTCTAAAACAGAGGGGGCCCAAGGTTCTACCTCTGAACCCTCGCTGTCCTCCTCCATGGCCACAAGTCCAGAAAGTGGTTGGATACCCTGCTCCAATTGTACCCTGAGCTCTTATACCAGTGTCTTCCCTTTTAGAGCACTTGGACTGGACCCTATGCTCTATACCCCTCAAACACCTGCCTCTACCATGAGCTCTGAGGTACCTGCTCTTCTCAGAACTGTGAGAACACCCCTCCCCCTGGACATTGGTCCATACCTGGAAATTTGAATCTTCTTGGTAATGCACAGGAAGGAGAATGTCTTCAGCATCACAGAAACAGGCAATGTCAAGGTGGTTACCGAGCTTTGCTCTGTGACAGTTGTATGCATGTACTGTGATGAAGAATTTGAGTCTGTTGCTTTCCAGGGTTGACTTAAGGAGTCTAGGCAACTGGAGAGTTGTTGAAATGTCTGGGAGATGGTAGCTGAATTCTGGGCACTGTTTCCTCTTATCTTCCTCTGTGAGTCACCCAATAGGGAAGACAGAGCTTTCAATCAGATCTGAAAGAGAAGCCCCAGATTAATGCAAGGATCTGATAACTGGGGAAAGGTAGCCAGTATCCAGGACAGTTCACTGGGGAATTGGGGAAGGGGAACAGACAAGTTGCTGTCCTTTTGTTCTTCAGTCTAGTTGTAGAGGACATTGCTTCACTGGCCCATGTTGGTATTATCATTGTGCTCTTCCCGGGTGAGACAGATAGGTCGCCGGCCTCTGGACGGCCGCTCATGGTGGCTCTTGGCAGCTCACACTGGCTGCCAGCCACTCATGCTGGCTGCCAGCCACACACGGCAGCTTATGGCAGCCCACTGTAGCAGGGGCTGCAACCTACGCCATCGCTGGTGACTCACAGCAGCCCAGCTCCAGGTCGAGCTGTTGTTCACGATCTTAGCTGTAGAGGGCAGTGTCACTGGCCCCCATGTGGGATCCAAACCGGGGCCCTGTTGCTCAGAGCTGGCGTCCCAAGCCAGTTCTTAACCAACGCGCCACTCGGCCGGTCCCCAAGGCAAATTTAGATTGAAATGTAAAATAATTTTTTATCTTTAGAACTTTTCTTCTAATGAAATATAGGGATATCCAGGGAACCCCTAAGCACATGAAACAAAACAGCCCTACAAGTGGGAAGACTGTACGTAGGTATCACTGTGCTTTGTCCATGCTTCCACTGGTAGGCAGCAAAGGTCATGAGTGGATGAGAACTGTAAATAAGCAGCCCCTCAGGAGCTGATCTTTCTTAGATTATGGAAAACTCCAAGGTCCCACACACTTTCCAAATGTCCTGTGTTAAATAGTCATTATTGTGAGCCAGGAAGAGTTCGTGCTACAGCACAATTCTGACATACATTTCTTTCCAAACTATCACCATGAATTCATCATTTGGTTTAAGGAGAATTCAGTTAAAATTACTTGAAAAAAAGGCAATCAATGCAGTAACTATTAAAAAGTCTAAAGTGTCAAAGAGATAGGAGTAAAAAAGCAATTAAATATGAATATTCAAGGAGTCCTTTGCCCTGGAGCAGAATATCATTTAAAAATTAGCAGGGCCGGGCGAGTGGCTCAGTTGGTTAAGAGCTCGCTCAAGAGTTCGAGCTCTGAGCAACAGCAGTTCAATTCCCGGCCCTAGCTGAGTTGCTGCTGAGCTGCCAAGAGGTGGCAGGATGGCTCAGCTAAAAAAAATCACACCAAAAAACAACAACAACAAAAGAAAAAAATTAGCCAATAATTTTAGTAATGAATGGATTACAAATTATTAAAAACCTTAATTAGAACTTCAAAGCAGAAATACAAGAATGAAAGTTAAAAGATTTACAAGAGAAGGAAAAATGATTTGGCAAAGCTCCAAAACTTTCAAAATTAAAGTAAAAACCATTAAAGAGAAGAGACCACATTGGGAAATAAGAAAAAGGAAAACAGACAATGCAAAAAAAAATCTCTCATTTATGTAGATGACAGGCTTTAAAATGAGCAAAAGGAAAAGGATTAAGTGAAAACTACTGAAAGGATTAGAAAGAAATTGAAAGCTGTGAAAGACAAGTCCACAACTATAAAACTCATGTTACTGGTAAAGAAAAAGGAATGATATGACAAAAATAATTTTATGACTTAATTCAATAAAAAAGACTAGAACATAATGACAACCACAGAACATACAATATGACAACTGAAAATTAAGGGGAAATGTCTTTTAAATGTCATAAAAATTTTTAAATGTACATAATGAAAATTCATAATACTTGAACATATTACGTAAAAGTACCAATGGAACAAAGCTAAAACATTATTCGCAGACAATTTTGTCTTAAATGCTTGTTAATCAAACATGAATTACAATAAATGATACAAGCACCTATCTCAAGAAGTTAATAAAATGAAAAAAAAAAAAACCACTTGAGGAAATCCATAAGAGGGAATTAACATGGAGAAGTAGAAAACAAGTATAAGTGAAAAAAGTAGAATAAAAATTTAAGATGTAGATGAATGGAACTTGCTGTGATGAAGGACATGCTCAGTATCTGCATTGTACACATCAGTGGCTACCAGGTATATGCGGTTACAAAACACCAGAAATTTGGCTAGCATTACTAAGGATATGAAGTAGTTAATTTTTTTTTTTTAAGATTTTATTGGAGAACTGGGGAAAGGGAACAGTATTGGGAATTGGGGAAGGGAAACAGCCAAGTTGTTGTCCTTCAATCTTAGTTGTGGAGGGCACAGCTAGCTCAGCTCCAAGTCCAGTTGCCATCTGGCCGCCCTTTGGCAACTCAAGGCTGCTCAGCTCAAGGTGCTGTGTTTAAGCTTAGTTGCACGTGGGAATAGCCACCATCCCATGTGGGAATCGAACAGGCAACCTTGTACTTAGGAGCACATGCTCTTAACAGTGGAGCCATCCTGCCACCTGTTGGCAGCTCAGCAGCAGCTCAGCTTGGGCGCAGCTCACTGGCCCATGTGGGAATCGAACTGGCGACCCTGTTGCTCAGAGCTTGTGCTCTTAACCAACTGAGTCACACTTGGCTGGTCCCCTTAATTTTAATTAATATAAATTTAATAGCCACATGCAACCAGTGGTTAGTGGTCACTGTATTTGACAGCACAGAGCTAGAATCCTGGGGGAAGTTGTTAAAATAATGAAATAGATTCAAGACAAAAAATAAAAGGAACACAAATACTCAAAAATAGGACATGAGACTGGTGGAGTAAATGTTGATACAGTAAAATTTAAAGATTGTAAGATGTTACTTTGATATGACAAATGTCTAATGATAGACATAGCAGAAAACCACACACACTGGGATTCTATGGCCATAAAAAGTTCAAATTCCCTAGAGGAAATCTGGACTTAAAAATAAAATGGAAGATGAATAAATAAGAAAATTTGCAATATACACTTTGATGTGACAAAAATAAACTATGTTACTAGTATGGAGGAGGGAAGTGTTACATAGTAACACTGGCCTCATAGTACTTTCAAGGACATACTAAGAATTTATTTTTTTGAATTAGTGTCTTGGGTTTCTCTGGTTAGATACCCAAGAGTGGAATTGCTGGGTTATACAGTAGTTCCATTTCCAGTTTTTTGAGATATCTCCATACTGATTTCCATAAAGGCTGCACCAATCTGCAGTCCCACCAACAGTGCAGCAGGGTTCCCTTTTCTCCACAGCCTCGCCAGCACTTGTTGTTTGTTGATTTATTGATGATAGCCATTCTGACCAGAGTGAAGTGGTATCTCATTGTGGTTTTTATTTGCATTTCCCTGATGATTAGTGAGGTTGAACATTTTTTCATATGCCTGTTGGCCATCTGTATGTCCTTTTTAGTGAAATGCCTCTTCATATCCTCTGCCCATTTTTTAATTGGGTTGTTTTTTTGGTGTTGAGTTGAATGAGTGTTTTATAAATTTTGGATATTAACCCCTTATCAGATATATCATTGGCAAATATCTTCTCCCTTTCAGCAGGGAGTGGAGTCAAGGGAATTGTAATAGATATGTATGATATTGGGGAGAAGTGGGGCAGCAGATTGGGAGAGGGGGTTGTCACTTCGAGGGGTAAAAAGTATAACTATTGCACTGTGTTGTACAGCTGAAACTAATTCTAAAAAATGTGTATTTCATAATAAAAAATAATTAAAAGAAAAAAAAGAATTTATTGGATTGTCAGAAAAGTCATGACGCATTTTTTCTATGTTTTTCATTGCAAAAATGCATCATGACTTTTCTGACAACCCAATATTAGCTATCCAATTAAAATGGGAAGGAACTTAACTTTTTGGCCAGTAAGAAAAATTTTTTTAAATGTTAATTCACAGCACAATGTAGTAAAGTTATATCATCATCAACACAATTGAATTATACATTTAAGTGGAATCCCTATGCCTGCAGAGACAAAATCTTCTGGCTTAAGATTTCTGGCTCCCAAAATGAATTCTACCAGGGGACACAGTAAATATGCCATGTGTCTCAGGTCATTTTGGTCATTTCTCAGAAATGCCTGGCAATCCTATCTATTAAGTCTTGCATGTGCATTCCAACTTCCATGCAAAATAAATAGTATTTCAAACCTTTGGTATGACTGATGGATTTCCACAGACCCGTAAGGTTTCCTCTTCCATTCATCAGACTGTTTGTAACTTCTCAAATGAAGTGGATAATTTTGGAGGTAGCCATTTCCAACCACTAAATTTTAAAGTATTCCTGCACTCGCAATCCATTGTTTATGCCATCTACCCCATAACAAGTGAGGAACTACTTGTAATCCCAGCTAGGTTCTTTATTTCTACTTTTATGGCTGGGTCCTATTATTTCATGCACATCATGAATTTTGTTATCACTTATAAAAAATACACTTTATCTTAAACTACTCACTCTCAATATGATCCACCCTCTTAGCATATAAATGTTACAGCACATCCCCAGTCTGAAACTTGAATTAAAAAACAAAACAAAACAAAAAACACGCTGGACTCCTTTTATTTCCAGCTGCTGCCTTCTCATTACCTTTTAATCCAAGGGTGAAGGTAGAGTCCATTCATCAGCAGTTCTCCTAATCCCAACCATCTAATCCCACTCCAATCTTCTTTTTTTTTGTGTGCCCGATAATTCATAGGCATCATTCTTGCATTAGTTCATAGATGAGCCTCTGAAATACATCTGAAGGTACTTACAGGTCTGTGCTGATAGAGGAGACCCCGGGAGGCTCTCCTAGACCTGCCTGATATTCTAGGAAAAAATGTCTTATCTGTTTAAGATTTCTTTGACAAAATGGTGTCTTTCAGTGGAGGTAGGAATCCACCTCTCATCTGTCTTCCCTCTCCAATTCATCCAGACTAACAAGTTGTCAGAAGTAGAGAAGTCCAGTTATCAGTCATTTTTCAAAACTTTCACACTTTGAAACACTTCAATATTACATTTCTCAGCTAAAACCACAGGCTAGAGATGAAAGGATGAGCAAAGTGTGTCATATTCATATAATGGAATATTATTCAGCCTAAATAAGGAAATTCGGACACATGCTACAACATGAATAAAACCTTGATGATATTATACTAAGTGAAATAAGCTAATCACAAAGACAAATACTGTATTACTCCACTTATATGAGGTCCCTAGAGTAGTTATATTCAAACAGTAAGAAAGTAGGATGGTGGCTGCCAGGGGGCAGGGAGAGGAGGGAAGGGGGAGTTTTTAGTGCATACAGTTTCAGTTTTGGCAAAATGAAAGAGTTCTGGAGGTGGATGGTAATGATAGTTTGGAAAACAATGTGAATATACTTAATACCACTGACCTATACACTTAAAAATGGTTAAGATGGTAAATATATGTATTTTACCACAATAAAAAAATTGAAAGAAAAAAAAAAAGACACAGGCTGGAATGTTCTGAGTGTTCTTCAGAGACATAATTATTCCATACATTTTTATCGTTTTGAAACAAAAGCGAGCCTCAAATTAACTACTTGCTCAGTGTTTGATTTTTACTTTGTTTCTTCTGCCTCTTAACAATAATGTCAATGTGAATGTCTTTGCTTGACGTTCTTACCTAGTAATGAGTTTATTACTTTGAAATACATTCACAGAAGGTGCATTGCTAGTTGTGGGCTCGTGTGTATTTTCAAAGTGACCAGATACTTCCTGGTTGCTAAACCCCAAAGGTCCTTTATGGCTCTATCTGCAACATATGAGGGTACTTTTCTTTTGTCCTTGTATGAAGTAGAATTTTTCACTCTGGTTAATGTTACCAGTTAGAGGAGATTAAGCAAGGCATTTTTACATTATTACATCCTTGTTTAAATGCTTTGCCTCTCCATGCCATATTGAGAGCTGTTCTCACACATCCATATATCTATGACCTACATATGTCTATAGAGCTGCCATCCATTTGTTTGAGCACCTCTGTGTGATGAATATTCATATGCTGTGCCTTTTTTGGAGGAGTTTTTATAACAGAAAATTAATATGAGTTTTCTGCTTTACGTAGTTATCCAGTACATCATGGCATTTTTAAGAGGAGTTTCTGGCTCAGCTATATTTTCTTGTGATGGATCGCCATGTGTTACTGCATCATTCCTTAAACAAACAATCCTTTTATCACAGAGGATCTCACGGAAATTTTTATAAAGTCTATTCCAGACAGAATGAGATCTAGCTCTGGCTCTGATACGTTATTTTTTAGGGTCCACAGTTTATAATTATTCATATGATTAAAAATCTTTCTCATCCTATGCTTTGTTCATAATTATTACCCCTTTTTTTCCTTTGGTGTTTTATTTCCAGCCTTCCACACACAGAATTTTCTAAGTTCTCCCAGAACTGTTCCTGCTGGCTGTTCTCTCCACTTGCCAGCCAGAGGACAAGGGATGGCACCTTCCGGCAGCCTCAGGCAGAGATATAGTAACAGACATGTGCAGGTATTGAAGGGCTGGGAAGAGCAGATGGCAGAAAGGCAGCTGGTACTGAGGGCTGACACAGTACTGGGGACTTAATGTTCCTTGTAGAGGGGCAGGGACTGGATCACCAATCTGCCTGCCTTTCAGGGAGGCCCCCCTGCCTGCCAGATGTCCATGCTCCAGGATGGGGATGGGTGTTGGGGTGGCAGGCAGGCCCTGGACCAGGGCGCCTCTCTTCCCAGCAAACCTCACCTACAGGTGATCTCTGAGAACTTCCAGTCTTTCGTTCTCCCTCCTGCTGCTTGTCCTTTGCCTTCAGGCAACACATTTCAAGGAGCAGACCTAGGACTTTAAGGCAAACCACCCAACATCCTGCTCTGGGTATTTGGTCATTCACTCATGAAGGTCTGGATTCTGTTCTCCCATCTCCTTAGGTTTCTTCTTATTATTATTGCTCTCACCATAAAGACCATTGTGATTATTGTTAATTACCATGATTGTAATTATTACAACAATTATGATTTATCACTATGGTTAGGAAACATGAAATTCAAGTTCACTATCCACTCAGGGTGTCAGGTTTACTGAAGGGAACTACAGAAGATTCCCCAAAATACATATAAACACACAGATGCTTTCAGGTCACTCCTGGTGCCCTTTCTAGAAATGAATGTCCACAAATTTTCCAAGTTTCTTTCCAGAGTCCTGAGTGGCCATTTTGATAAGGGATACTGGCGAGGGCATCTTGGACTGCCTGAGCCGCTGGAAAATATGTAACCTCAGGGATGAGCAACCACTCATGCATGCACACAAGGCCCAGGAAGAGTGTCCACTGCCTGCCAGGCTCAATGAAAAATTTCCTAAGACCCCTTAGGGCCCAGGAATAGATGGAAGACTAGATAGAGAGGAGGTCTTGCCTTCTGGAGCCTTTGCAGTATTTTCTAAGTAGTATGACTCAGAACTAGGGAACCGGTCACACTGCTCTACAGACCTGCAACACAATGGAGGGTAAGGAAGGACCAATTCAGTCACCCACCAACAGCCCCAGGCTCAGAAGCCAGATGCCAGAAGTACATACCTGAAGGTGGTAGGGTGGAACAGAAGTAAAAAAAATGCAATAGACATTCAGGGCAGAGAAAGTGCTGTAGCCTTAATGTTCAGAGTAGGTGGGGCTTTGGAGGGCTGAGGGGCAGGGCATGGTCCCTGAGTCTGGCCACCTTCCTGTGAGGCCAGTTTCTCTGGAAGACACACACACACACACACACACACACACACACACACACACACAGAGAGAAACATATTTAAATGAACCAATATAAGAGCTGTCTCTGAATGACAGATTGTTTTCCAGATGTATTTTTATATTCTATTATTTTTGTTTTCCAGATGTATTTTTATATTCTATTATTTTTTGTTCATTTGTATTTCAGCATTTTGGAACAATTAATACATCTAAATAAAAATCCATTTAACATTTTTAAAAGAAAAAAGATGATAGTTGCTATGACATGAATGTGGATTACACAAGAAATCAAAATGACTGCTTATTCTAGAACATCCATTTTGAAGAAGCAAAACTTACAGTCAACAAATAATCAACCAGTTTGAAAACAGCAATTAAAATCCAGGCAAGAGGAGTTTTTCTTTACATTAAACTGGATGTTTTCATGTATCACTTACCCTTTGACAGAAACTAGAATTTCAATGAAAATTTCTGCTGCCCCTGGTTACATGTGTTTCTAATGTATGCTACTAAAGAAAATATTAATATTGTATAATAAAGTATTTATCACTCATTAGATATTACGAACTTGAAAAAATACTTCTTGCCACGACTGTTAATCTTTTACAGTATCTCAGACAAGATATTAAGCATTTCATAAATATCATTGCTTGAAGAGAAACTTAACAAAATTGGTATTTGTATATCCATTCTAAAAATATTGCAAGTTTAGTAAGGTTAAGTATGTACCAAACAAATTTTCTCCGGCTCCTGAGTCTCTCAGTCTCCCTCCCATTTCTGGATCCTTACCCCCCAAAACAGCACTCTTACTCCTTCTCCAAGCTCCCTTCACAGAGTCAGTGCCCCCTCCTCACTGGAGATACTTTGGATGTATGCTTAGTTTAAAAAGTCTGGGCCCTCCTCCCCTGTCAAGCTGCCTTGTGACTGTGGAGCAGGCAAGGAGGTCAGTAGGAGAGGCCAGTAGAGAGGAACCAGCACTGTCCTCACAGGAATGTCACGGGGATGGGAGAGTGGCAGTGTCTGCCCTTCCCACCCCTGCCACTAAAAATTACACATCATATTTCATACGACTGAGCAAGACCCACCTCTCTTTCATGGTTGTAATCACAATGATCTCAAGTATTTAATTCCTCTTTTCCTGAATATCACATTAAACTATCAAAAATTAAGAATTCAGATAGTAGCACTGGAAAACATGAAAGAGGGTCAGCAATGGAAACAGCTCTGAGCAATTTCTTCACCATGAACAGATGAGCTCTCTTCCAAAAAATACCCCATGGCAATCCAGCTCGTCCTTGATCATTTTCAGAGACAAGGCAAAGAGCACACATATTATACTTAGTTGGAAACTTTAGTTCACATCTCACTAAGTTAAAAGATGACATAGGGGAGAAAGGTATTGAATATCAGTTAAACTAGGTTTTGACTGTTAATGTAAAAAATCACCAATATCCTTACCAAGAACAGATTGAAATAGTGTAAGATTATTTGCTAAGCACCAAAGAATGTTGTGAACATATAATAAAGGCTGGAAAACCATTGAGACCTCATAATCTGAATCGGACACAATACATTTAAAAGGGACTATAAATTGGAAATTAAGAACAAAACTAATGAATTTGGGATCGCCCCTTCTTTTGCCTCCACTGCTACTGCTGGTCAGACCCCTCCTCCTATTCTGTCCTCTTTCACTTCTCTGCTGATCCTCTTGTTGTCTATTTCCATTTATCTCACTGCTTTTTGCCCAGGTCACTCTCTTTCACTCTTATGTGTCTTTCCAAGTCCACCGGACCCACCTTCCCGCCTGAATTTTACCCTCCCCCCTTTCTCTCTCTCACTCTCCCTGACTCACTGTCTCTCTGGCTCTGTTTTGGTCTCTCTTCAGCCTCATCACACGCCTCCCCTCCGCATTCACTGGATTAGACGAAAGACAGCCCTGCCCAGGCAGAGCACACTTTCCAGTGGGACATCGGGAATGGAAACACACTCTGACAGGCACGGCCAGTGGGATGCGTTAGGAGACAAGAGAACAGGGAGGGTCACAGGACAGGGGCGGGAGGGCGCGCGCCCCCACAAGGCTCAGGGGTCTCTCCGAGTCGGAGACTGGGAAGCGGCGGCCTGAGGGGCAGCAGGGATGGGCCCCAGAACGACGCCAAAATGGGGAGGAGGGCTCAGGAGAGGACTGCAGAGCCCCGGGGCAGGAGGGCGGGCCACCCGGAGCTGCCCCCCAGGAGCCGCGAATCCACCTGTAGACGCCGCGCGGGGTGGAGGGAAAAACGGTGAAGATCCAAGGCAGAGAGGTCGGGGCGGAGTCCGGTCGCGGAGCTATTTTACCTGAAATCCGTACCCGGAAGAGAGCGGCTGCTGAGACATCCTGTGATGTCTCCAGGACACAGGACTCCGGGTGTGGGGGACGAGGCGCTGGGGGCATCAACCTGCGAGTATGAATAGAAATACCAAATCTCGCTGCAGGGAACCAGACACTCCATCAAGGAAATCTGCTTCCGGGTCAGTAGGAAGCTGCGGGCCCGGAGGGGCGGGGCCTGGGCGTGCGTGCCTTGTGGTGGGCGGGCCTAGCGGCTGCTCGCCACATCCCCGAGCGTTTCCGGGCCTGTACTTCCGGTCACAGCTCTTGGGTCTCCGGATTTGCATCTGCGGTAGTGCGGTGGGTGTCATTTGGTCCCCGTTGCTCCCACCCTGCTGCAAGTTCAGGGGTTCATAATACCTTCAAGTCAAAGTTTTGAGTTGTTGAGACGCTTATATTGAATGCGGAGGTATTTCCTTGTCAACAACTTGAAAACGGCTTAAGTCAAAAACGCTCTTTGTGAGCATGACTTGGGGTGAATCTGTGGGGGATGGCTGGTTCAAGAGCATCAGCGGCCCCACCAATTTAAACTTTTTTTTTTCTTTTTCGTTTTTCGGTGGGAACTAGAATGTGAACACCAAACTCACCTGTGTGAAGTGTGAAATTTCACACTAACACCAAAGAAGGTGGTTTCCATTTCTGTGACCTATTCACTAGGAGGCAGAGACTCTATTAGGGGCTCAGAGCTCTGTTCCCAGCACTTTACGGGCCAGCATTAGGCAGTGAGGTTGAAGGGCAGAGTAAATGCTTTAAAAGAACAAAATTACTGTTTGTGTATGTATGTATTCGTTTCTTCTTGATATTTAACTTGTTCCGTTTCACATTTCTTGAGATTTATAAATTCAAATACCTTTGAGACAAATGTGGATGACATCCTACAACTTGCACGTCATTATTTTCTAAATATATTGTAATTTCACATTTTTCCTTATCTTCATTCCAAGGGTAATCTGAACGAGTATCTTTAATTTGAAAAAGGAGGCTATTTTAATCTGTGTTTTGTTTTCTGTTTCTGAATGTTTTATGTCAAGTATGGATAATGAGGCTTGTAAAATGTTTGCACTGAAGGAAATATGTAGATTTTACTTTAATGAAAAATCAGTTTTTCACTATTTCCAGATGCATTTGGTTGGAATATGTACTTTCTCACATGAACATTTAAAAGCATAGTAAAACTGGATTTTCAAATTTCAATTGCCTTTTTATACCTTTAATGAATTTTAACGTGAAATACGTGAGTTAAAATTTCCTTTGTAAATTCTGAATTTCATGCTATAGAGAATTTGGCAAGACTAAATCCCAACTATTATGCTGCAGAAATTTCTCAAAGATTATTGCAAAAGAAGAACCCTTCTAGTTTTCCTTTATACAAGTTTCTCCAACTTTGAAGGTTTTGGGTTTTTTTAAATATTAAATATTTGAACTCAAATGGATGTACATCCTGGAAGATAACATTCTCTTAGGCAGAGGGACAGTAGAATCCATGGGCTTCATGCCACTGCTCCTCCAGGTCTCCAGGACTGACATCATTGAACCTGAACTCACCTATTCCTCTCAGATCTGTAGAGAACTGGACGCAGACTAAGGATCCAGGACTGCATCCGATTTGAGGTTACGGAATCCAGATATCAGAACCTCTCCCCCATTTAGTTTTTCTTCATCCCCTTCTCTCTTTACATAGAAGTCAAGTGACATAGTCCTGGCAGTGTAAACCAATCCACCTTCTCCATCAAATCTGTATTCTTGTTTCTACATAGTGTGTGCTGGGGGAGGCTAAAAGTCCGCTGAAGTTATTCCTCTTGGATGCACATGGGATGCATAATGAAGTTCCCTCATTAAAGAATTAGAATTATCTGGGGAGGGCTTAACATCCCAGATGCTGAGGACTCACACAAGACCCACTAAACTTGTATATCTGGGAGAAGGACATAGACATCAGCATTTTTAAATTCCATTGTGATTCCATTGTGACTGAAATTGAGAATTAATCTAAATGCAGTGCTTATCACACTTTAATATGTGTACAAATCACTTGGGGACATTGTTGATATGCATTTATTGATGCAGTAGAGCTGGGTTGTGCCTGAGATTCAGTGATTCTAATAAACTGCAGATCCAACCAAGCTCCTCTTTACTCTCCAGTAAATGAACTTGGGTGAATAAAAGTAATTTTTAAAAAAAGATCAGCAATGTTTAAAAATCAAAATACCTATAAAATATGTCATATGGGAGAACTTTATTAACACTGAAAAACAATTAAAAACATATTTACAATGTCCTATAATAACAAAAATGTACAAGGCCAAAAGACTATTTCCTATATTAGTTTCTACTAAAATATTTCCACAATATCAAAAACTTTCATTTTAGGACAAGGTGCTGATTACAGATGCAGAGCCCATAGGTGGACACATTACCCAGAGTTTCCCAAAATTCAGTCATTTACACATCAAGTACACATTAACTTCATAGCTTCCTATTTATATTTTGATATTTACTCCTGTGTGTGGACTCAGTTTCTTATAAAATTAAGTTTAAATGCCAGTTTGATAAATTCTATTTTAAGTACTTTACATAAATAAAATAGGCTATATCTGTGTGTCTGTCCTCAGCATTGTCTGGAATTCCACCATTTTTATGTACACCATAGCTGAGGAAGCACTAGTCACCAGATGCAGTCTTTCCCCATATCTTTCCCCTCCTCAGTCCAACAGTCCCCTCAAAAGCACATGAGTCTCCCCCGTCACTCCCAGTCACTCTTCTCACAGGAGGAGACCAAAAGGTCCTCTAAGAGGATGATCACAAGGACAAAGGGACAGTGTCCCTCAGAACCCTTTAAGACATGAGGACTCTGACCTGCACAACTGGGCTTCTCAGGAGGCTGGGATGAGGAAGCTAATATGAACCTGGAGCTCCACCAACCATTGTCCAATCTCAGGAAGACCATTGGAGGTACTGGCCTAGAACATGGCTGGACGGTGGAAGATGGGACCCAGTGCAGGCTTGGGTGGTCTTCAGGTGAGGTCTCTTATGTAGAGGCTGGAGGTACTTGGCATCTGGGCAAGTGTCCTCCTTGTCATTTGAGATGTATCCTTGGGACTAAATCCATTTCTGTTGAAGGGAAGCTGGAAAGTATGGAGAGCCCCCCAGATCAGGGGCTCCTCTGGAGATCTGAAAGAAGCTGAGACTCAGTTTATTTGAGGTGTTCTGTCAAGTCTGGATTGGGATCTGAGCAGATCTTTTGTCTTGTGCCTTGATGCTGAGTTTGGAGTCCTGGACCAAACCATGCAGCAGGATATGGGCTGGGATGTAAGTTCATGTCAGGATATTTGGCTTGTGCCTAGGGATTGAGAACATGGCCAAGTACCTTGGGGCCAGCTTGGGGAACATCATGGGGGCCAATGCCAGGAGTGTTCTGTTGCCTGTAACTTTGAAAATGAGTGTAGGGTCCTGGCCAAAGTACTTGGATACTGGCTGGGGAGATTCAGTGACACCCAGTCCCTCTGTTTTGTCCACAACATGAGAATAAGGAAAGTTGGGGTCTTTTCATGGGAGACACTGCAGGATGGGAATCTCAGGGCAGATTTCTTGACTGGCAGCTGACTTGTGAGAACAGCTTTTAGGACAGATTTCTTCTTTGTTGTGTGGATGAGCATCTACCTGCATGAATGCTGTAGGAGAAGATGCCACACATACATTTCATAACAGGACTTCCTCTCAAATTGAAAATGGAAATCAACAAAATAAAAAGTCATGGGCCATGAAAAATTAAACAGTACAAGAAATAGGAATGATTATTTTAATGAAAATGAAAGCAACCAATGTCAGTGATGATTGGGAAAATAGAAATAACAATATTCACTTGATACATTTTTCCATAAAATTGGGAAATTATAAAAGTTCTTGATATTGTCTCCTTAATTTATTTGAAATAAGCTCTTTCATACACTCTTCTAGGAAATGAACATGGTTAATGTTGTTTTGAAGACAGTTTGATGGCCAGTGTGTTTTGATGGACAATTTAGGATTATAATTTAAAAGATATTCTTGCATATAGGAGTCTACCTTTTGGAGGCATCTGATTAACTCACTTTGACATAATCTAATTAATATACGATCTCATCATATATGATCTAATTATCTCTTGAAGTAATATTCAGTGTTTGTTGTTTACCATTTCCAAGCATTTTAAAATGTTAATATGTGTGTAAAATTTTAACAACATATATTTTATACAAGTAAAAACATTTGTACATTTGTCAATACACTTTGTTTCATTCTGCACCTTGCCTTTTGACCCAAATAATTGTTCCTGAAAAAACTCCCATTGACACGTATAGCTCTAGTTCATTCTGGTTCACTGAGGTTTACTATTTATTTGTGTAGCTGCACTGGGGTTTTCTTTTTTAATCCCTTCTCCAACTGGTTGACATTTGTATAATTCAAATGCTTCCCTTCCAATAGAAATGCAGCCATGGGTATTTCTAGGCAAATGTCCTTGTTAATATGAGCAGAAAGTAAACAATGGGATCACTGGATCATTACTTTTTCAGGCATTTTTGCACATAGTCCAAGTCCCCTTTATATGACTTAGAAGCCTGAGAATATGGTTGCTAGGACCACAAGGATACTTCTCATTTTTTCAGTAGGCTGAAGGAGGGAGAGGATAACTTCCCCTGAGTCTCCACTGCAAGCTTGAAAGGGTTCCTTCATCTAGAGGCTTGAAATATTTCAGGAGGCTTGACCTTCCACTAGACATCAGGTGGTACACCGACAGCCAGGATCAGCTGTGTGTGACATATGTGAGGGAACCCTAATCATCTTCATTAAACCACACCTTAATCATGAACAGGAAACTTTATTTAACAGCTACAAAAATTGAAAATGATGAGAATGATAATAATAAAAATAACATGAATAACAGCAATAATGATAATGATAATGACATAAATAGTAATAATTTTAATAGTGATAATATTAACCTAAGGAGATGGAAATTGGGGCACAGATTCCCCTAAGTACACAATAGTGTGCCAATTATGGGTCCTCATCAGGAAGTTTGGGGTCAGAGTCCTAGAACTGCACCCCGAAATGAGTTCCGTGCAGGCAAACACCAGAAGCAGTAGAGAAAGGGAAAA